AGGCTAAGGATATAGATTTTTCATTCTGAATTCAAATGTAATAATTGTATTATAAATTATTGCTATTATTTTAAATAACATTAATGTTTTCTTGTACGACATAAAATTTTATTTTTGTATATTTTATTTTTAATAATATTTAGTAATATTTTTATTTTTATTGTGCCTACCTATAATATTGATTTAAGTTTAAAAATGTATACTTGTATAAATATATATCTATAAATAAATATGTATATATAAATAAACCGGACTTTTTTTCGCCGGACTTAGGTAGAATACCCAGATATGTAGTTATTTGTGTAACAATAATCATAATGTTATATTATAAATTGATGAAATAACTTTGAACATAAGGTAACGACATATTTCTTTATCTATAGCAGGATGCAGGATGGCCTATGAAACTATGAAAGTGAGCGTGTTTACATTGTTTCTTAGTTATAATTTGTTATATCTTATTGAACAAGCAAACTGTTTAAAAAATCTTATGGTTTTTTTTAATGAAAATTAAATATATTTTTGTTACTACCAATATAATCTATTATCTACCCACTTTCCATAATAAAAAAAAAAATATTTTTAACATTAATGCGATGATGAGAGCGGGTGAGCTTTGATCCCACGCAACTAAAAACTGTATATTTTGGAGAGCTAAACCCCCCAAATCATCTCTCGATTTCTGCCCATGACGTAATCTACAGCCCAGCACACCAGAACAAATTTGCCATATCGAAATCATGTCCGTATAAGATGGTAAATAATGGTCATTATATACGGGTGCGACCTTTTAACAAATTTAAAATGATTAACTGTAATTTAAAATTGTTTGATTTCCATTTGTTAATTTGAAGATTAAATAAATAAATAACGAATCTTAAAAATTAAATAAGATTAAATCTCATAATTTTTTTAGTTCACTTACTCCTTATGTGAATTGTTTATTTCTGTCTTTGCCGGAGTATTATTATTGTTTTTAATCTTACAAGTATTATTATTGTTCATTTTTTAAATTAAATTTGAAATTCTCCTGTCTTTATATGCTATATGATGTATTGGTACCTGCCTATGTTATATTGTAGTATTAAATAATGGTAGGTTTTGTAATATTACTATATAACTGTTATGAAATCGTAAATATTTAAATTTGAAATTTGTACTTGTGTATTCAAAATATAGGTTCCTTAGTTACAGTTTAATATACTAAAAACAATATAGAATATAATATGCTAGGTACCGGAAATGACGACAATTTATAATGACGGAAGGAATTGCCATCATTTCTGTAGGTAGGTACCTATTTTATGAGTACAGGTAATATTATCATTCACTGCTTTCTTACTCTTAATTTGATAATTAAAATCGAAAATATAAAAAAAAAATCCGTATCGACTCAGTATGTGTATAATATATTGTATATTATTATAGCTATTTATAGCTATAAAAATAAAATCATTACATATATTAAAATGTTATGTTTAATAGCATATTATAATACTTTATTTAAAACAACAGTTATTTTTTAAAAAACATAAGTATAGTCATCAACTGATTTTAGATTGAATTACTTAAATTAAACTCATATTCTATATTTTTATCTAAAGCCGGTCTCACGACCCAAGGGCGCCCGCAGGGGGGGGGGGCAAAGGGGCCATTGCCCCTACTGGGAATTTTTTTTAAATATTGTTTATTTAATGCCACGGCGCCACGCATATTAATTATAACATAATTTTATTGACTCAATTGAGATTCATTTATGAAGTTATGTAAAAATTATTGTATTTATTATTTTAATTATTGTTCACCAAATGATTGATAACTCGGTTAAATTAATGATAGAGAATAATAGATTAAAACTGAAGTCAATAGTTTCATCAATATTTTTCCTTGGGACACATGGTCTACCATTAAGAGGTCATTCTGATGATTCTGCATTATTTAACGATTTGTTGAAGTTAAGAGTAGAATGTGGTGATACTATTTTAGAGGATCATTTTAAAAATGCCCCAAAGAATGCAACTTATTTGTCTCATCGCATTCAAAATAATTTTATTACAATTTTTAGGACGGTTACTTCAAATATTATTTTGGAACAAATTAAAAAAGCTGAATGTTATTCTGTTCTTACTGATGAATCAATGGATATATGTGGAACAGAACAAATGTCTATAAGTATAAGATATACTTTTAATGAAAACGGATTAACTACTATGAGAGAAGATTTTCTGGGATTTATAACTCTTAATAAATTAGATGCAGAAAGTATTTCAAATTCCATTATTGAGTCTTTGCTTAATTGGGGCTTAGATTTAAATAAATTAATTGGTCAAGGCTATGATGGTGCCAGACGCCAGTACTATGTCTGGCCATATTAGTGGGGTTCAAAAATGAATTCAAGATAGGTATAATAAAGCAATATATGTACATTGTTCAAGTCACCGATTAAATTTAGTGTTAAATGAATTAAATTCTATAACAGAAATTCGGAACACAATTTCAATTATCAAAGAAACAATTAATTTTTTTAAAGAAAGTTCTCTTAGAAATTCAGTTGCTCTAAGTTTGACAAAGTTATGTTTAACAAGATGGTCAGAATCTCACAAAGCATTAAGAAAATTTTATTAAAACTATATTGATATTATTGAAGCCCTAAATTATCTTAAAATTAATGGCAATAGAGACACATCAGTTAAATCACTATATATTTTTAATTCGATAACTACTCTACAGTTTTTAGTTTGCTTAAGGGTTATTGCCAAATATTCAGCTATTATAGAACCAGTCACTAATATATTACAAGGTGTAGATGTTGATTTATTTGGTGTACAAATACACATACAAAAATTAATAGACATTATTTCAGCTGACAGAACTAACAGTGAACAGGTTTTTAATATTTTAATGAAAGATATAAAAAATTATGCTGATGATGTAGGTAATGTAGGTATTGACTTTGTAGTACCCAGAATTTCTTTAAGACAAACTTTAAGATCAAATTATCCTACAAAAAATCCTATTGATTACTACAGAATTTCAATTTTTATTCCATATTAGGACTCTTTATTATCATCTTAAAAATGTCGGTTTGATGAAAAGAATGAAGATGCTTTTTCTATATTTTCTTTACATCCAAAAAATTTTAAAAAAATGTCTGTAGAAGAAATTACTGTACATCTTAATCAGATTAAGAAATTTTATGGAGAATTTGTAGATAATATTGTCGAGGAAGGTTTGATATGGTTCAATTTGTGGAGTTCAAAAGAAGTACCAGATATGATGGATTTTACAGATGTTTTAAAAGAAACCGAATTACTCCCTGCTATAAAAATGAGTGCGATGATAGCAATTTCTCTTCCAGCAACAACTTGTAGTGTTGAAAGGTAATTCAGGTATATTTTAACTGTAAATAATTGTAAATAAAAAAAGTCTATTCAGGTATTTCATTCATCATTAAAATATATATTTTTTACAGTTCATTAAAAAGGTTAAAGACATGGATACGTAATTCAATATCTGAAGACAGATTAAATGGCTTAGCATTATTGTATATACATAAAGACATTGTTAAAAAGCAAAAACAAAAAATTATTAAAGATGTTATACAATCATTTTGTATGCAACCAATATTTGATGATTAATATAAATATAATAAATTTGTGACACCTACATTAACGTATATTCAAATAATATTAATATTGTATTATAAACCTACAAAATAAAAGGCCTTATGTGATGACATAATGTTGTTTTTTTCTGTTTAATGTAGGTTATGCTATTTTAGAATAAAAAACACTAGAAATATATTAAGGTTTAAAATAATAATTTTGATCTTGCCCCGGGTGGGATTTTATCCTGCGGGCGCCCTTGTCACGACCTACACGGCTACACTATATATTGGCACTCGTGTACTAGGTGAATTCACCAATCGTGGTATATTTACACATTTTATAATAGTAGGTAGGTACCTAGTTATTTTATTATTAAGCATGGCAATTATTTTCACTTGACGTCCGAATAGTCGAAATCGCTGTTTTAAAAAACAAATTAAATTGAAATATTTTAAAAAAATGTATTAGGTATTTGATTGTTGATTGATTATTTATCAAGTTTAAAGGGGAATTACTAATTATGTATGACGAAAATAATATTTTAATTATACAAATTCAATCAAAATATATCTAAAAGAATTTTCATAATTTCTTAAATTTCAATATTTACGGTAGGAGCCGGCCTTAGATATGGGCCAACGGATTTGGCGCTTTTATATCACATTTTGGACATGGCTTTATAAAAAACTATAATCAAAACTCATAGGCCTCGCTAAAAAGATTGCCACAGGCCTCGTTCCGCCTTAAAGCCAGTAACATATGTATTTAAAATAGAATTTAATATTAAGAAGAAGGGCAAGTGAGTGCCACTTTGTATTGTACTGTCTAGTTGTCGACTGCTAAATGGGTCACTGTAATGGATATGTTAAATTAAATGTTTGAATTCAAAGACATAAAATCATTGTATAAGAAAAACGATTATGAGCGTAGAGCCGAAGATTCGTCTGTCGGTCTGTCAACATGATTATCAAAATAGTATTTTTAGAGTACAAAAAATAACTAAAATCGATATTTGCTTAATTTATATATCTAATTTCATCTACAATAAAAACTACTCAGAAATCTTGTTTAATATATATTTTAAACTCTCATAGCTATAACAAATTGAACATATTTGCAAATTGTTGAGATTTTGATCAATTTGTTGGTGGATATTTTAACTACAAATGCTCATAAAAAATAATTTGACTCTAGTAAACTTTTTTTTTGTTAAATCCTAAATATAGTAAGCATATTCATTTGCAGAACCGCAATTTCAATGAAAAAACTGGGGGTGTTGGAGACCCTCTTTTTTCATATTATCATTAAGTTATAGATCCCCGCAAATAATGACTATTAAAGTGAAAATTTACATGAAATAATGTGGGGTTGCGAAGGGCTAAGCACACCCAAGCCCTCCCCCCCTAATTTCGCCTATGCTTATTATGACTTAATGAGACATATTGTATTCAATTTTAAAATCTTAGATACAAATAAAAAGTTCTTATGCATTTCTTACTCAAAATAATTGGTAAATATTTGTGATTTTGACGATATTTAAAATCTTTTCTTGACAATATGTAATTTAAAAAAAAACTAACGAAAATCGAAATTTGTATACGCTTCAAAATAGCTCAAAAAGAGTCAAAATATTTTAAATTATTGAAAATAATATGTTTAAAGTTACACAGGTATATTAAGACGTATGTTCTAATTTACGTAATTTATTGTCTTTCAAATAAAATAAAGTTTTTCCATACCTATTATGTATTGATGAGCTATAGATATTTTTGGTAGTTGAGACCGAACCCTTGCGATTGTGAAGGGGTAGTTTTGACGAATCGTGGACTAAACGTCCCTGTAAATGTAAAACAACGAGTCTACGGACGTTTCGTCCGCTTCAATTATCAAGATAGAATTTTGGTCCCCTTGCATTTTAAATCACTAAATCTAAATTCCTATATTTTTATTTTATTTAAAATTTCAATTATTTTTATGAAACGTAAAATGTCAGTACCTATACCAACCTATAATTTATATTAATAAAGTATAATTATTATCTACAACTTCATTATAATTTTCATAAGTCAAATTTAATTTTTAAACAATATAAGTAAACTATGCTCTATGGCATTGGTGGCCCCCGACCTTAATTTCGGAAGCGGCAAATTTGTAAAGCTGATTCGAGACGATCCACATTGTAAAGATATGTTTATTAAATGAAGACGCATTTTTCATTTTAAATCAAATGAAGGAAAATTTATTTTTTACTCCATTCAAAAATTATTAGTATTGACATTATTATTAATAGTATTTTTGTTTTACTAATAAAAAGTGCTTTTTCAAGTGATCATTTTTTTTGTAAGTTTTTTGAAAGATGGTTGATAATTTGTAAGTGCAGTTCACACAAGTTCACTTAAACATTCATCAGTTAGTTCATAAATATTTAGATCATTAGCAGTATTTAGATTTAATGAATTTTAGTACAATGATTCACACTGCACATAAGAAGTCCCAAAGATTGATATAAGTCTCAAAGCACACTTTTTTGTTAGTGGGTATTTTTCTTTTAGAACATTTTTCTAAAACTCTATGCTAAAAACGCCATTTCTTTAGAGTCTTTTTAGTCGTTTGTCCTCTTGCCAAGGAGCTCCAACTCTACAGCTGCTGTATTCTTTGTATTTGATGATGAAACAGGACATCCATCGTCCACAACATCAACAGCAAAAGAATTTTCCAGGAATGAAAATTAAAGGTTAAGTGATCTCAAATCATGTAATCTGATATTGATTTCTTCAGAAAGACCTGACATCTTACACAATTTTTCTTCAGTTTCCACCGGAATGTTAGGAAGGCTTTCACTAATTTTCTTAAAACATTTGAAGCGAGCACAAGTTTTAGTCAGAAGGTATTTCGTCAAAATGTTTTAACTTGTTATGAAAGCTAAATAGCCTAGGCCAAATCAGAATTAAATTTTTCCTTTCCTTGTAAAGATATGTTTATAGTTTGTAAATACTGAACCACATCTGTAAAAAATACCAATTCTAACAAATACTGCAGGGGTTTATTAAGTTCAGGGAAAGATTTTCCTTTTTCTTCCATAAATAATTTGATTGGATCAAGTAATTCAAAAGGATGCCGTACCAATCATAGAGTAATGTGTAAGTCACTCTATGATGCCAATCTATAATAACGACTGTAATGATAACGAAACCGACGGCATCAAAAACACCATCTAACAATTCTAACAGAATTATTTGTCTAAGCTTGGCTCAAGAGCCGCATGAGGTTTTGGCTACCCCTGCTCTATGGTTAAATAACTATAACTATACCTTTAACTATAACCATTTAACTTAAATACCTATAAGCTATAACTCCCGGGGGCTAACATATGCTATCTTAATAATTGAAGGGGACAAAACATCAGTGGCTTGTTTTTTTGACGCGGTCGAAATATCCGTTTAGTGTTTACCAGTTTTGATCACTCCCTGGGGTAATTTTTTTTTGCTATACCATGTGTAGAATATGTACGTGTTTATAGAAATATTATACAGTTTGATTGAAAAACCATTTAAAAAATGATTTCGGTCTATAATAGTACGTGTTATGATGATTTTGAATAACCGCCATTTAAGGTAATATATATTTTTATATTCTCTTTGGATAATTTTCCGTTACACATTTTATCATATTTTGTATTAATTGACGGAATGTTTATTTTTTAAATTTTCCAAGTAATTAAAACCAACCAACTAGTAGGTAGTAGTTGTAGCCAGTAGGTTAGCCAGTACTCAGTAGGAACCTTTGAATGAATTTAAATTTCAAATGTTCATTATTCACGATTCACGTTTTTTTTTTGACGAGTCTTGATACTTAAGCGTAGCATAGATTAAATATATTTATAAATAATAGACATTAATACCATTAGATATACTAAAGTCTGAAATAAGTGAATAACTACAAACATTTAAACTTAAGATTAAATTGATTGATTTTTCTAATAAACTATGAAGAATATTTTGCACGTGGAGGTTCTTTTGCAAACCGAGAAGTATGTACATTCTATTTAAATATGTATAATGTTTATATATTAGCTTTTAAGTATTCTCCAACATTTATTATACAATTTGAAAATACAACAAAATAAAATGATTTTCTTTCTTAAAAACAAATGCGTTTCTTAATTTTGGTTTAATTAATAATTGAATATGTTGTTATTAAGTGTACTATAGTCTATTTATTATGAAAAATGTTTGAATAGAGCCATTGAAATTCCCGAATTGGAAAAAGCCGTCAGACTTGAATTAAAAAATATCGAGCCAATTGTCCCAGAGTCTATGCACACTACATTTGTCACTGAAGGATTATCTGATTTTGTAAAATGTATACAAATTTGTGAAATAGAAAATGTACATGATATTGAAGATGTTGAACCAATGATGATAGAGGTAAGTAATATAATAAATATTTTTTAAGTTTTAAATAAATTATAATTAAAAACAACTTACAGGCAGGTGTTGATTCATTAGATTTAGATACATATCTAATAAAAATCTATTTTTACAAATTAGATGATAGTGGTTTAGTAGATGATACTACAACTGATGAGTCTACATGCAAAATGAGACGTTGTATATTACCCAATGTGGATTTTTCTGGTATCTGGGAATCATTGGTATTTCAGGAACCGGTTAAAGAAATTGTAAACATACAAAATATTAATACGTCATAGTTATCTGGCTTTTATAGATAGTTAATTTATTTTAAAACTTGTTTGTTTTAGCTTTTACACTACGCACAGACAGGGATGAATTTTGCACGTCATAATGTTAACACTAATATTATTAGCTATAATAGATTAATCCTGTTACATGGTCCACCAGGTACTGGCAAAACATCCATTTGTAAGGCCCTTGCCCAAAAATTATCAATAAGATTGGGAAAACAGTACAATTTTTTTGAATTTATTGAAATAAATAGTCACAATTTACTATCAAAATATTTCTCTGAAGTAAGAATTGAAATTATAAATAATTAACAGCAAACTATTTTTACCTTTTAAATTTTTGTTATTATAGAGTGGGTCACTGGTAATGTCTATGTTCCAACAAATAAAAAGTGTTTTGGAGTATGGTGATTCATTGGTATTCATATTAATTGATGAAGTAGAGAGTTTAACACGTGCTCGAGATGCAGTGTTATCTGGTACTGAACCATCAGACTCCATTAGAGTTGTAAATGCCGTACTTACACAACTTGATAATTTAAGAAAGTAAACATAATCATTGATAATTGTTAAATAAGTTATTGTTGTTCCTTATTTGTTTATTATGGGTATGATTCAAAGGTATCCAAATGTTATATTTTTAACAACATCAAATGTGACAGAAGCCATCGATACTGCATTTACTGATAGAGCTGACATAAAAATGCTCATCAACCCTCCTCAGGAAATGGCAATTTACACTATACTTAAAGCAGCTATTGAAGAACTTATCAAAGTAAATATTGATTGTTAATGCATTAAATAATAATATTTAAAACTGTTTACTTAAAAAATAGGTAAAACTGATTATAAACGTAGAAGAACATGATAAATTTGATCGTCTCCCTGATATTAATGCTGAACAAAAAGAAATTCTCAATACAACACAAAAACTACATCAAATTTCCAAGTAAAAAAAAAAATTAATTAACTTATTAATAATATAATTTTAAATAAGTTAACAATTAATATTGATTTTTCTGTTATTTAAAATTTTAGAGAAAGTGTTGGTTTGAGTGGACGTGTTCTAAAAAAAATTACTTTTATAGCACATTCTATATTTATACGGCAACCACAATGTGATGGTGTTCATCAATTTTTGGCGGCCTTACACAAAGCAGTGAAATATCAAAAAGCACAAGATGCTGGCCTTACTAAAATAAAATAGTTAAACAATTTTTATATTTATTATTGTAAATTACACATCAGTTGTTATAGTAATTGTAATTATATCCCAAATAGTTCTGTTTTAATGAACATAAAATATTTAAATATATTCAAATATAAAATGTATATACAAAAGATACAATTTTCTCATTTTTGAAACCAACCAAATTAAATAAGCCAACAGTTATTAATGAATAATTAATAATAAATAATTGAACTTTATAAATATCTTAATTTGTCAAAGCTAATAATGGCAAATAATGCCAATTATTTATACAAACAACCATAATAATTTTTTTTTTTTATCAACAGTGGTAACTGTATCAAGTTGTGTTTGGTATGTATCCTTTAAAGATTCAATTTATTGAGTGGGAGTTGATATAAATCTTAAGAACAATAAGTAATTTTTTTGTATCTAGTATAACTATGGAGGTTGGAAGACTAAAAGTAAAATCATTAGTTTATTGTTGGAAACAAAAGTATTGATATATTTATAGGTAGGGCCTATAATTATTATGTACTAAAATCATTTATGTTTATGAAAATTAAAATATGCTATTATTAAATTAACTAATATTAAGTTAATAAAACTATTACTAAGTGAAAAATTTGTATCAAAGAAGTATTAACTAGATAATGTAATAATATATTCTATTTTCAAAATAAATTGAATTAATAACCATAGAAAGTGAATAATATGTTGACTGTTATCAGTGTAGCAAATGTATTGCTTAAACTACACCCAAGGTGGATATATCCACCTTGACTACACCCTATTTTAATAATAAAAATACACTCATTTAAGTATTAACCTTCTGTGGTAAATGATAATCTAGTTAAATGTCAGTTATAGTCTTAATAACTTGAAGTCAAAATAGATTTATTACTATTCATATTAAAGTTATATTAAAAAAGTTGTTTCATTATAAAAATTATTTATTTTGTTTTTGTATGATTAGAAGAGAAAGGTTTAACATTGAAAAATGTTTGAAACTCCTGGACAAGATGGTTAGATTAAGTTCTAATGAAGCACTACACAACTGACAAAAATTCGAAATTAATATCTGTTTGATCTTCGAATTGATATATTATCTTCAAGTCTCAAAAAAATACATCTCGCCCCACTAAAAATTTGTTTGGAAAATTAACATTTGTTTATTTAATGATTTTTAAAGGACAAAAACATTAAAGTTGTTTATGCTTAGTTATTTGAGCTGAGTTGTTTTTTATTTTAAGAATCCATACATTAAAAATTCAAGCTGACACAAATTAACTATTTATATCATAACAATAAGACAAAAATGTTCAGTTGAAAATAAATTTAGTATTTTTACAATTTTTAATGAGATGGAAAAATAAAATTAAAAAACCAAAAAATTTTCTATCATACATTTATTTCAGAAACTTTAACATTTACACAATTACTAAAATGTATTAATTCATCATTCATCCAATGCCTTTACTAAACCAAGCATTCTGTCATAATCTATAGGCCTTTTGAATCTTTCTCTTAGGACAATTGACTTGTGTCCAGCTAGCCGATAATACTCTTTGTGCCAAGGAATGAAAACATTTATACTATCCGGCAATTTAATAGCTGTTTCAAATGTGCATGTTATATTTTTCCATGGTAAAATTGGATTTATGTACACACCCACATACTGTCTCTTTGTGTTGTGTCTGTAAATCCTTAATACATATTTAGAAATAAAATTGTATGATACTATTTTAAGAAGAAACAACGTAGGAATCATTATCATAAGTTCAAATGTTGAGTTTGGTATAAGCAATATATCTAAATATGTTTGTAAATCAATTTTTCCTTCCGTCAATAAAATATAGAAATAGGCTATAATAAAAGTTGATGGCAGTACTACAATGGCAGCGATTACAATTCCACTCAAACAACGTGCATACGTCTCGCCAGTGCCATTGTAAATTAGTTCATACTCTGATGGTGAAACCCTGTCTTGAGCAGCTTTTTTATTGTACACTTCATAAATGGGTTTCATGCCCATCTTTTTCATGAAACAGCGATCGGGCACCAAATATCCAGGCAACCGATTGACTGGTAATAGCATGCGATTGTTGTGAATTACTGACGTTCTTAAGTGTAATGTATAAGACCTTTTCACTGAAGAAAATATCGAAGAGTTAACTCTACTCCGAAGACAATAATTAAAAATATACATTTTAGTATTTAAAAATCTAAAAAAAAGAAGCGAACAAAGCTATTAAATAGTTCTTTCAATACCAATTTAAATTTTAAATTAATTCATACAAATATATTTATTTTAGTTATACAATATTAGAATAAAATATAAATAAGTCTATAGGATAAACATGTTTACATGTCGATTGTCGGCAATCAGCAGTTGAGAACGAGCAACAGTCATCAATCATCAATTGTCATTAATCGTGAGTATGAACACACTACACAGCACACAGAACTGTAGACTTCAGTGAGTTGAGAGCTTAGATTATGTATATGATCTAAGGTTGAGAGTTTGAGACTAAAAAAAAAACAGCACAGGCCACAGAAGTTTGAGTTCGGTATTTGATAAGAACGTGTATGATAGGTTGCCTATACAAGATGGCATGATAAAAAATTTCGTGGGGTATTAACACTATTTAGGTATAGACCGCCACGGTCATGCGACCATAGCAAACGGTGGTTCGTGGCTAAAAAATTATCATTTTGAATTTTTATCATTAATTTTATCATTATAGTTCATAGAATTATTAGAATTTAGTTATTACCCGAACACCCGCCCGGAGGTACGTGAAGATTCGTGGGTTGGAAAATATAAAAATGCCGACTACCCGTTACACTCATGCTGTGGTAAATCGTTTACCACGGTCTCTGAAAGACCGACAACCGACTTTGGACTACGATCGAGCGAAACGGCAACACGAAAACTACGTTCAAGCCCTGCGAGATATTGGTCTGGACGTGATCGAAATGCCAGCAGATGAGGATACACCGTGGTGTGCTTTTGTTGACGATACAGCGTTTGTGTGCAACGGAACGGCGATCATCACAAAACCAGCAGAGCCCGAGAGAGCGAAAGAAGTAAGTCGGTTGATTCTGAAGTTATTTTAATATTAGTGTGAATATTCAGCTTATTATTAAATCCAAACGTAACAATATTTTCTATACAGGATTTGTTGAAGGTTTTTTTAGTTTTAAAATATTGTAGCTACCTAGTTATGGACATTTATAAATAATAATTTTAAATATCAAAAAAACCCCAACTATAGAAAATATTGTTAACTTAACTACCTAGTTTAGTAATATCATAGGTAATAGGTAAAATTAATTTATCTAATTAACTAAGAATTGCTGAACAATTTACTATTTAACCCAATTGTAAAATTGACACAACACATGCGGTAGGGACTTAAACATTATGTAATTTCTTTTAAAACACATCGGGATCTTATTACAGTTGTTATGTTGAATATTTTAAACTATGAAGGTACAATCAGCTACATACCCGCATAAATATAAATTATTAACAACTAAATTGATCATAACATTAATTTTTTATTACTCTAGAATGAAGTACATATCTACATATAATAAATCCACATTGTCCTTAAACAATAAGTGTTTGAAATGCTTCAGGTTGAAGCAATAAGAGCGGTGTTGAAGAAAGAAATTGGATTGCCTATTGTTGAGGTTTCTGATAAATCTGCAAAATTACACGGAAGCGATATATTATTTACAGGTATAACACACATGATATTAATAAGTATCTTTATACATAAAATAGTAATTAGGCAATACAATATATTCTATTAAGAGATTGTTAAGAAAATATGAATTGAGTTTTATTCTTATTAAACATACTATAGGTACTTAATAGATAATAAAATAATATCCCTAAAGCATCTTTATCAATAGTTATTTTATTTAATATTGTTGATTTTAAAATACAAAGAAATTTATTATGATATAAAAATACGAGGAACAATTATTAAATATATTTCTAAATTTTTTTTGTAATATAATTTGTTGTTTTAGAATTTCTCTTATGTAATTTTCAGTTGTTGTCTTATTCTATTTTAATGTTGTTGCCAATAATTATTAATGATGTCATGCCATCTGAATGTGTTGGTGTTAGTTTAAACAGTTGAATTTATCACCCACATTTAATTATAAAAGTATCATTGTTTGTAGGTCGAGAATTCTTTATTGGAATAACAAAATGGACTAATGAATCAGGAGCATGTGCAGTTGCATCTGCTTTTCCTGAATATCCTTGCACTCCAATCAAGGTTAGAAAGTATTCAATTATTTCAGAATGTTGTACATTTAAATAGATAGTATAGTTTAAAGAATAATTAATGAAGGTAAAGTTATTTAACAGGTTACAGAAAATAAACATCTAAAAACAATTGTGTCAATGGCGGGACCAGATCTGATGTGTGTGGGGTCGAGTGATTCTTCAAAAAATGTTTTAAAGGTAATTTAACTTAATATTTCAACTAATAAGTTATTTATTAATATTTTTTCATTATATTTAGAGATTAGAAAGAGAAGCTACATATAGCTACCAAATTCTTACATTACCTGAAGATGAAGCTGCCAATGTTATGTACATTAATGGAACATTATTACATCGGTCAGCCAAAGAAATACCATTATCATTCAGTGTAATATATTTATTTATTGCTGACTAGTTTTTTTCAATTATTCATAAATATTAAATATATGAAATAATTATTCTAGGTTCTAATGGAGAAAATAACTGATTTTACTCTACAATCAGTAGATATTTCTGAACTTTTAAAATGTGAAGGAGCCAACCTAAACTCATGTTGCCTTTTAGTCAGACGTACAAAACATATTCGAAGCTTATAGTTTGTTATGTTATGCAATTCATTCCAACACATCAGTATTATAAACAACACTTCAACCAACATATTTATATACACACACATTCACACACATTGTGTTCTAAATTATAATATTTAATAGTTATTAGTATGCCTTCATAATAGCTTATAAGTTTTTATGAAAAATGTAATGTGTACTAAGATTCAATCTTAACATAGTATATAAATTAATTAATTTGTTCCTTATAAAAATTTTAAATCATTGGATCTGATATAAATGGCTACTAATTAGCATAGGATTTGTATTAATATAAATTTAATATTAATTAACTGACAATATTAAATAATATTATAATCCAAAGTAAGAATTTAATTATTATTCTAGTCTTATTATTTCCATCCTACACAAATTTTGCCGAACCTTATCAATTTATTAAAAAACAAAAAACACATAAAAATAACTAATATTATTTTCCTTCATAAATATAACTCAAAAATGTCTACAAAAGTACTACATGTATAGAATATGCAATGAAAAAAAAAAATTTCCTTAAAATGTTGAGTAAACGACAACTGACAGTCAATATTTTAAATATGAATTATAAGAACTACAGAGCTTGCTCTTCTGCATAGTTTGCTTGAATTAAATAAATTGTATTTTTCCAAAAGAACAACAATTCTGGGATAAAAACATTCAAATTTAGATGATAAAGAAATAAAATTGTTTTCATGTCTTTTTGATATTTTTAATTTCCTGTTAGAATAACTTTGAAGGGACATTGTATCAAATTTTAAACCCTAGATATTAAAATTGAAAATAGTATGACATTTTAAGTACAAAATAATTTGTGTATTTCCGGGATTTGAATACCTATTAAACAAAACAAAAATTTAAATCATTTTGTAACATCATCTATAATGACATTCATATAACAGAATATCGAGGGAAGCTATTATTTTTATTTATCAAATGTTAAGTAGTTAATTTTCCCATCTACCATCAATATTAAAACCAGATTTTAGCTTATGTGATTATAGGGGAAACTCTGATCCCTCCATAGATCTATCCGCCTCTGTGGTATACCATACTAAACATACGTAAAATTAAAATATAATTTTCAGAAGAGAGTTTATGTACCTAATAAAGTTTATTTTTTCTATTATGAACTATGAAATAATAAGGCAATAATCAATTACAAAATTCTTAGTGATAAAACTTAATATTACATAAAATATCTCATTAAAACAATTAAAAAATAGAATAGAAATATTAGGTATTTATAATTATGTTAATCAACATAAATTGTTTAAATTATTAATAAAGTTGTTCCAATGTTAGGTTAGATATATTGACAATATAAATTTAGGCTGGTTCTTACAATGTCTGATAAAGTGTCAGTTAAAGTTAACAGGCTGATAACAGATTTTATTACGGGCTAAAATTTTAATAATTTACATGTTCATAACTTGCTTAAAAATTAAAATATTGTAAAACATCCATGTGAATACACAGATCCTTATTTTTAAGTTGTATGTTATGTAAATTCAGTATATTATCAAAGGTTAACACACAAAATTGAAATTGCTGAATTCAAATTTGGGATGTTGACATATTGAACGTTAATCAGACAGAGACATAACATGCGGGGGTGTGGAGCCCCATAATTATTCTGAATAAATATTTTTATTCAGGTTTCTTACTAATACAATGTTTGAAAAATTGGGATGTGATATTTAGACAATATGTTTAAGTATTAATTAATACGAGATATTTCCAATCATTATGAATCTTTGGGTCAGTTTTTTTGTATATAAAAATGAATAGTATGATATTAAAACCATAAAGGTCATTATTTAAATCAGTAATTAGGTAAGTATACAAGTTATACACAATTACCTGGAAAAGTTAACTTATTTTTTTTCTTTGTCTGCTGATGCTACTTCTTCAGTGGTGGGACTGGCACTTCTAAAATTCGGAAATTGTTCCCATGGAGTAGACAGCTCAAAACGTCTGAATTCTTGCGACATTTCCAATGGCTCTACCACAACTCTCTTTTTTTCATCATCATACCTCACCTGAGTAAAAAGTTGTTTTTGAGTTAATACTATACTTTTTTATCTATAAGCTAATGAATTACTTCTACATATCCAGACAATGGAAAATCTTTACGGAATGGATGACCTTCAAATCCATAATCAGTAAGAATTCTTCTTAAATCTGGATGATTAGTGAAAAACACTCCAAACATATCCCAAATCTCTCTTTCGTACCAGTTTGCTGCTTCATAAATAGATGTAATGGAATCAATCGGTGTTAACTCATCAGTATAAGTCTTAACACGTATGCGAGTATTGAATCGAAGTGATAACAGATTGTAAACAATCTAATGTACAAAACAAAAAAATATATTCATTATAATAGACAATTTTTTTTATATAGTTTTATTTTTTATAGCAGTAACACTAATAACTTATATCCAGATTCATATGTATTAAAAGTTATAATAAATAAACAAAAATACTAAAAACCCGGGGAAGTCACTACTGATATATGGTTTGTTGCAACAATTGTGTTAAATTATACAATGATTTTTAAGTCATTGCACAAATGTAAATGAAGAAAATCTAAGGGAAGTAGGTCGGTCAGACTATAATATTATACTGAGTATATTTTATGAAATAATCCTTGTTTTCCTTAATTTTTTTGTTTTTCCCAACACTTTTGAAAATAATGTCAAATAAAACATATAAGAAAAATATTTTTTCTGAGGTTCTGTCACTGGACAGTCTCCTTTTCATGTGCTACATGTCTTCTTTAATCATTATCATCATTGTTACTTATTGTTTTTGTGTGTTAACAGATTGAAATATTTTATTCAATAAAAAAATACAAATATACAAATAATTGATTACAATTTCTCTTTGAATGTACATATTATAAGGGTTATGGATAAGGGTTCCTGAGTTTGGCTAATCTCCCCTGGATCGTATTATTACATGGACGTAATGACGTATATACCAGATTTTTTTCATCAGTTGATTTCTCCACGTCAAAATAAGTATGGACCCCACCCCCCTTGAAAAAATCCTGGTTGCACCACTACAAATGTTAACTAAAATGTAAATATTTCTTCGGTTTACTTTAAACCACAAAATACTAAAATATGACATAACAATAACAATAAATCCAAAAAAGCAGAATATTAAAAATAGTTACCTCAAATCTATTTGAACGTTGAGGAACATCTACAGCACATATATCAGATAAGTTGGCAAACTGGCAATTCGTTTGATTTTTTAAAAACTGAAATACTGGTAAGACACCTTCTGGTGCTATCAGTAATTCTAATTCATTTTTAGAACTAATTTGAATTTTTTGAATATACTTAGGTAAACATTCAGCAACAAAATTTCCAAATCCAATATATTGTTCTGTTACTGAATCAAATTTTTGTTTAGGTACCACTAAAAAAAAAAAAATAATTAGTTACAATAATAAAGATTTGTTTTGATGATAAAAATATGAATATAAAATTTTCAATTATCATGTTATTTAATAGACATTATGAAATAACCTAATAGTCTTCAAAAACTACTCCACTTTACTACCAGAAACCACCCTTGAAAATCCAAGCATTTTTTCTACTATAGAAAATGTACACAGATATATAAAGGCGCCAATATTTCAAAAAATCATTGGGAGCTATAAGTGAAAAACTCTCCTCCCCAAAAAAACTACTGTGAAAGGCTTTAACCAATCATTGGTAATAATAGTGAATTGCCATTCACATTTGCACCAGAAATTCAGAAACATCAGAATTCAAGGTAAACGGTCAGAGAATTAATTAATCTGTATCAAAAAAAAACTTAAAAACAATTCAGATACATCAAAATTATCATCGACAATACAGAAACTTACTGATACTTGCTCTATACATAAATTGTCTGTAGTTTCATACATAATATTATTATCCATCGATGATGCTCGAGCACCCAGGCATCTATTTACATTGATCAATAGCTTATAGTTAAAACAAACAATCAATAATAATTAAAGGACCTATGCAATAGCATACCTAGCTTTTTTTCAATAGGGGAGAGGGGGCTAAACAAAGTAAATCAGAAATTGATATCCTTTACCTTATATAGATAGTTATTACTATATAGAGATTGAAACCCTTTTAGCCTACCTCTGGTTACACTACTGATTATATATATACTAGCGCTCTGAATTAATATTTATTCGTTGTGTAATTAAAAGAATTTTAAGTATGGTGAACTTATGAATATGTTGATATATTACATTTTTATATGGTATTAATAATATGGATTATGGATTAATACAATTCTAACTTAAATATTTGGCTTTGTCATCTTTCTTATAAAAAAATGTAAATTTCACAGTTTTGATAATACCTTGGAATTATCATACCATTTTTCATAGTTATATGTAACACTTTAAATTGTAAATGTAACTAAATTAAAGTATTACAAAAGTATTAATAAGAATCCAAAAAAATTGGTGGACTACCGACTTTATGTATATTGCATATGAAACATATTGGTAAATAGCCATAAAACTGTATGTACTTATACAGTATACCTAAATATTTGGCAAATAATATCTACCTGTAGTGGATTCAGCTCGGGTTATCTGTTTGAAATATCTAGGCATCCTGGTACCTACAAAAAATAAACATTTTGTAAATCAGGCATAATAAATAATATATTTTAGTTAAAAAAAAAATTGATTTTACCAGTCTGAACTGTACTTAATCTTTGAATTGCTCTGGTTATGATCCTTATCGACATTGTTAAAGCAAATGTTTTCGACCGTTGTAATATTTAATGAATAAATGAACAATCAACTACGAAAGTAGAGAAAAATATACGACACAAATTTATTCCACACTGGCACGCTGCCCAGAAATCGAGATAGACAATGTTTAGTGAATACGGATTACTTAACAGTGTAATACGTATTCAGTCACTACTCAGTACTCACTAAAAAGTCATGAACTCAGGAAGAATAAAGAATGTAGATAGATCATAGATAGATAGATGAACGATGATAATATCTTTTTACTTTTTAGAAAATAGAAATGTGATAACACTAAAATAACTATCCATGGTAACTGGTAAGAACCATGAACCAGGAAGATATAATTGGTTAAAAGATTTTACCTACATCGTGGTTAGAAGGAAGGTATCTTGAATAGATTAAACCGGGAATGTGTACAAGCGGTGTCACCTTATCTTCTCTACAACCTAAGAATAACTATAGACCATATATTATTAAGCGCATGATAGAAATAACTAGTTATTTCCATCATGATTAAGTGATTATTCTGTTCAATTAGGTACAATTTAAAATAATTTAAACTAAAGAAGTTTTATTATATTTTATTACATTTTATACAATATAATATTATATACATTTTATTTAAATAATAACATTAATAAATTTGTATTCTTCCTTGAAAATCTTGATTATTATTTAATAAAACAATATGACCCCGAATAAAAAAAAAATCTGTACTTCAGCAACTAGTTAGCAGAATGCAGGTGCTGCTAATAGCCGCCATGTTTTGTTAATTATAATTCCTGCGCAATTTACTTTAATATTTTGTAATTTTGTATCATTTTACTTAACCTGATTCAGCTATATTTCATTAAATTTAAAATTAACATTAAAAAGCTTATAACAATTAATTTACTTATCAGTTTTATTAAAAAATTTTTTTTTAAGAAATATACAATCAATGCTTTAGAGTTTAGGGCATAATAATAATATGTGCTATACAAGCAATTAACACATGAAAAAGAATGAGGGAAGAAACCATCCAGTGATCGTACTTCCTTTTGATTAAATATAATTACACATTATTTTTGTTTTTCTGTTGTTATCATTGGTTATTAATGTTATTATAGTTAATTGTTAAGAAGATTTTTAACTCGGAGTGGATGAGAGTAAAATTATAAATATAATATGTAATAGGAGGATGGCATTGGTGATGGAGCGTAGGATTTTGTTTTGAACGGTTTGAATTTGGTCGAGATTGGATTTTTTGGCATTACCCCAGTAAACAAATATACATATATTAAACGTATAATATACGGATACACATAATCTAAGTTACGTATAATAAACGAATATATTTAGTTGATGATAAGTAGAAATCATGGATATTTTTGGGTCAAAAGATAGATATTCAACGTATATTATGTGTGTAATAAACGTAAATTCTAACGTATATTCAACGTTTAAAATACGTTTATATTAGTGGCTAAAAATATGTTTATAATTAGTGTATATACGAGTATATTTATTTAGTTAGCAACGTATAAATTACGTTTAAAATACGTATAAATTATAATAATAGTAGTATAAATTTGGGATATGATACGTTTATCATATACGTGTATTTTGGTATAAATTTCGTGGATATGATACGTATATCATATACGTGTATTTTGGTATAAATTTCGTGGATTAACATGTAAAGATCACGTGTATATTTAGTTTATATACGAGTATATTTGGTGTAATTAGCAACATATAAAATACGTATATAATTATTATAGTAGTATATGAAATTGGGATATATGTATATCATATACGTTTATTTTAGTATAAACTTCGTGGATAAACATGTAAAAATAATGTTTATATTTAGGTAGTATATATTAGGTGTATGTAATACCTTTACTTTATGTACATTTTTAATATTACAATTTACATGGATTCAAATTCAAAATTTAACTAATGTTTATATGGATCTAGACTGGGGAAAATGCCCCAGTTTCCCCCCCCCCCCAAATGACGCCACTGGATGTAAGTTAGACCAACCAATAATACACGTACGATCGACGTTAATTAAACGTAGTTTTACCACGAAAAATATACGAATATTTATCAACGTATTTTAAACCTAATATATTCGTATATCCTTACACGTAAATCGATGTAAGTTCTACCAACCAATAATACACGTATGATCGACGTTAATTAAACGTAGTTTTACCACGAAAAATATACGAATATGTATCAACGTATTTTAAACCTAATATATTCGTATATTCTTACACGTAAATCGATTTAAGTTCGATCATCAACCAATAATACATGTAGTATTAACGTATATTATACGAATATTAATTACGTATATATATACACCAATATTATCCTTAGTATACACGTATATTATACGTACTGTGTTTACTGGGACCCCAGGGTTGGGTTGATTTATGATTTTTAAATAAGCAATTTGAAATTTAATTTGGTATGTTTATTATTTTTTTTTTTATTATTTATATATTAAGACATTCCTAGCCTATACAGGCTATCTACATCTATGGATAATTAGTAATATTAATTTTGACTATTTTAACATGATAATAATTATGAGTAATAATAATAGCGATAATAACAATAGTAATATTTTAAGGTTGATCAGACATATAGACAATGACAATAGTGTGGATGAAGAATAAAATTACATTCTAATTTATTACTATTTACTTAATAATAGTTAATGAATAAGGTCATGTGGACGACCGCGTTTTAGACGTCTTTGAGGTGGTGGACGTATGAGTAAATTGAAATTTGAAGTGTAGTGAACCAGTTGATTTGTGCCTTGTGGAGTGAACTATGGAAATTTGTAGCAAGGGCACTTATATGATCTTGAATTTTAATGATTCGGAGATCGTTATGTAGATTTTCGTTGCGTTTGTTATTATTCTTAATATTTTGTTTTGGAAACTTTGCACTTTCCTTAAGAGTGTCGCTGAACAGTTACCCCAGATAGGACAGGCGTAGGTAATTACTGGGCGTAATAATTGCTTGTAAATTAATAATGAGCATTTTTTTTGTATAACTGATTTTTTGTTTAGGATAGGAAATAGCATTGAGAGGCGCTAGTAAACTTGTTGAAGTTTAGAAGTTATGTGAGGCCCCCAGGTTAACCTCTTGTCTAGCATGACGCCTAGGTACTCGACAGAAGGCTGCCAAGGTATGGAATCATTGGAATCGTTGTCGAATCTTAGAGGTGGTGGAGTCGAGTAGCGACGTAAACTAAATATGACTGCAGTGCTTTTTGAAGCGTTTATTTGTATTTTGTATTAGTAAGTTTAAACGATCTTGTAAGTTGTTAGTTATTACTTATTGCTTCTGCGTTACGGGATTCACTGTAAATAGTTGTGTCGTCTGCTAATAGGGCGATGTTTGTGCATGGTGAGGTATATTTATTACATAATAATGGTTTAAGCAACCGGAAAAGCGCATTTAATGCGAATTTTTTTTCCTTTCGTGTACTACCCAAGTGAGGAGCGGGTCGATGGTTAACCGGAAGTAGTTGACCAGGAGTAACCGAATTGATTTTCATTTCAACTTTCGAGGAGAATAAGCTTAATGAAACGGGAATCAATTCGGCTCAACTCAATAAAATAACTTTTAAACGGGAACCGATTCGGTACCGACGGTACCTACCAGCTACTTGATCGATTGGGACGAAGGGATAGGGATATCAGCTAATCAAACCCGGATTAAGACATTAAAACAAACTTGTAAGCTTTAATTCGTTCATCTAATTCAGAACAAAATTTATCAATGATATGGGTTTTAATCACGATTAAAGATATAATTAAAGTATATCTTTAATCTTGATTTTAATTCTAAGCTTATCACCACCTTGCAACAAAGAATTATTTAAATCACGGAAATCTACATTTGTTTTTGATGTCCTTCTTCCTTCATCATGATTAAGACTATTAGTTTCTGGACCAAGTTCAATAACTTTATTTTCATAAACTACTGTTTCTTAATTTAAAATGTAATTTTTCAACGATTTTAGTAAATACAACGCATTCAACGGGCCACAAGAACTGTCTTGCAGATGTTTAGATGTCTTATTAGACCTATTCAATATATCATTCCACAAAAAAGATAGATGTGCAGCTCCTTCTTTTTTTAAATGTGTTTTAAAAGCATTTTAGCATCCCTTCTCGAGTCTCTATTTTCACCAATACATTTTAAAGCTGTTATTATTTTGATTTAATTATGAGTAAGTGCTTGACAAGAATCTGAGTGACAGGACCATCTAGTTTAACTAAGGAATGTCAGTACATGTAATCAACCTTTCACATTTTTATCTGAAGTATTAATCAAAATGTCCCATCCATGAGTAGATCCACTAAAAAAATTGAATATACATTGTAGAAATATAAAAAAAAACTGACAGCTTCTATACAACAATCAACACTATGAACACCAACAAGATTCAGGGAGTGAGCCGCGCAGGGTATATAAACAGCCAAATTACTTTTATTTTTTACATGAGCTTGTAATCCTTTATATTTCCCACTCATGTTGGAGATATTGTCATACGACTGTCCGGACGATTTACTATATTAAGTTCAGCTTTTTCAAAAATTTCTTCTCAAAGAACAAATATTGATTCACCTGTTCGACTTTTAATAGGACTTAATTGAACTAATCTTTCATGAACACATGTCAATGCGCAGTACGGAATCACAACAATCAACAAAAACATCTATTTTTAGATTGGTCTGGAGTGGAATCCATGATAACAAACATTTTGCTTCTTTTATTTGGGCTAATATAAAATGAATAACATTATGAAGAATAAAATATTTAACAAATTTTTTGCAGAGTTATTTACTAAATTAAATGGATTATAATGTTGGTGTCCGTATGGTTTAAGATTTTTTAGGCCATACTAATGGTGGAAGATATTATGACTTAAATGAAACTGCAGATGAAATGCCAGTTAGAATTGTGGGTACTTTTCCGTTATCCCCACTACCACAGGTCTGAATTGTTATCTCATCTGTCACTCCAAATTGTGTACATCTATATTTTAAATTATTTTTTATCCTAACTACTACATTTCAAAGTGTTCATAATTTATCATAATCTTTTTATTTTAGTCCCTATACATTTAAATGTATTTGAGTATAACACCAATTTTAACTTATTGGAGTGCTGCTGGAGATAAGTTTTCCTTAACATTTGACACTAATCCATTAACAGAATTTTGTGAATAGAAAACTACCAGATAACTACAAAAATTTCAAATATAGCAATATACTTTGTGGACCCTTAAGGGGGTGGTGTGAAATGGTAGATATTTATGATATAATGTTTAAATTAGTTTATGTGTGGTATAATAAAATATAACTATTGGTTAGTTACTTGGTAGCTGATTTTAATTCTGAACAGAGCAATGAATGAATTGATTTTGCAATGACGTGTTTTTTTTTAGTATGTACACAATAAGTAGTTGAGATAATGCTTAGATTTTCAACTTCAGTATTTTATCAGGTAAGAAAGTAAATTTAGTTGGTTCATTCGGGAGGTCAAAATTAAATATTTTCAGCAGTTTCATAAGCCCCAGAAAAATAAAAAAACTAAGGAAAATCGGGAAATTTCACCCAAAATCGGTTTTCCACATAAACGATTTTGATTTTAGATGTAAATCTAAAAAAACAGTAGATACATGAAGTAACTATAGTAAAGAATGCTTTTTTAATTAAAATAAAACATTAAATTAACTTTAACTTTTGATACTTATAAAATAAAAATAATAATATTGTAATTGTTTTACTTAAAAACAATGTTATTATCTCACATTCAAGATTTAAATGAACAAATAAGATACAAAAAAAAAAAAAAATAAGTCCTCAATGCCAATGTACTTCACTAGGATGGGTTATTTGACCAAGTTTGAAGAACCTGGTTAAATTGTTTTGAGCGGTTGATTGGGTCTTTTTTGATTGTGGCTGTGGCAATTTTCCATCGCGTTTTAACACTCCAACACATTTCCAGGTATCTACCGTTGCTAAAAAAATTTTAATTTAAAATTAATTATTATAATCTTCTTGAACTATTTTGTTAATTGAATACATGAAATTAAGTTAAGACAAAAATATTCTTAAAACTTACATTTCCAAAGCCTCACACATCCATCATCACCAGATGATGCTAAAACAGTGCCAGTTATATTCCATGCAACACGCCAGACAGTACAAAAATGATCATTAAATTGAGCAGCAGTTTCAATAGTATAAGGGAAACCACTTGTAGCATCACTGTGTAAAAATTATTATTACTTTTATTACTTGGAAACCAAATCTATTTTTCAACACTAAAATGATAACTTTAGTACATACACAATTGGTTTGAGTTTTAATATGCGAACATTATTTGTAGCAATTGCTAACAAATAAAATGATCGTCCCATATTAGGGGCAAATATCATATCATGTACTGGATGAGCTACACTAGCTACTGATTCAGTTTTTGCCCATCGACGAGATACTTCATTGTATTCACAAATAAATACTTTACTGTTTGTAGTATTGGAATTATCATCACTACCAACTGCTATCATTGCATTTGGCATTCTAAAACTATAAAAAAAAATCTTTAATATTGTAAAATAATTAAAAATATATAACGTAAAATTATTACTTAGATAGTAAAGGATTCCATGTGAGACAACTACTAGGCACTTTTAATGACACTTCATGTTGCAACGGCCATTGAGCAAGGTTCATTGCATCTGGAGCCTCATAAATTCGCATAACTCCATCAGCTGAGCAAGTAGCTAAGATTAATCCAAAAGATTTTGGACCAAATTTCACATCAGTTACCGAAGTGCGAGAATCAACTAAGTTTGCTCTACGCACCCAATGCCGTAATAATGTTCCGTTTTCATTACTTTCTCCCACTAAAAAAAAATCAAGTGTCAATAGTGTTCAATCATTTATATTTTGACTTTAAATTAAATTAAAGACACAATTTAAAAATTATAATTGTTATGATACTCACTTACTTCTTCCCAAATGGCAGCAGTACGGTCAAAGGAACATGTTGCTATTACTTGACCAAACTCTGGATGTGCCCAAGTCACTTTCCAAACAGATCCACTGTGAGCCTTCCAACTAGCTGTCAAATTCCAAGTACCCTGTTCATCTTGATCCCAAACCTGTATTCAACAATATTAAAATTTAATACATTTTCAAACATAAACAGTCAACAGAATTACACTTACTTTAACAAATTGATCTGTAGAACATGTCGCCATTCTTTCTCCATAGTAGTCAAATGCAACATCGTGTATTAAATCTTTGTGCTCCGCATTAATACTATGTGCCTCAACCATATTTCACATTTATTAAGTATTATAGGACCTGAAAGTATTCCGTTGCACTGGCGCCTGGCAGTAAGTAATAAGTAATAAGTATGATTAAATAGAAATAAATATATTGATAAATGATAATGTTTAAATTTTCAAACGCTTAAAATCTGATAATTTTTCATTGTGTAAGATTATGATAAAAACATTTAGGTTATGTACATTAAGTAGGAATATTTGTAATCTCCTTGGCATCCGATCGATAGTTTCACGACTGGCGCCAGGATGTCGTTGAAGATACAAAAGGGTAAGTTTATTATGGCTTTTTGAACATGTATTGATTTTTGGAACTGTACGTGGGCTTAACGAAAAGGTCCAGGAAGCTTACGGAACTATTCATGTCTTTTGTTTCTGCATAACTTGAAGCAAAAATGTCTAATTTGTATTTATTTTTAATATATTATGGTGATATGTATTAAACAGAAATTGAAGAACAGAAGAACAAATGTCGATTAATTAGATTATAGATAATCAGTAATCATTAAAAAAAAAACTACAACCATGTTAGTGGTAAACACCCAAACATATTTACATTATTTTAGAATTTTTGTGTATTTATATAATTAATTAAATCATATCAAATTATACACAATACTTCTATCTACTGTTGTAGAACTGTTCTACTGTGTACCTATATGTTAATTAAACATTATTAATATGATTATAGGTATATTACCTTGCCTATATGATATTAACTTTAATGATGTAGCATTTATTTATTTAGGTGTACTTAAAAAACATTAATTTTGAATTACTAGCTAAGAAATAATTCTCCCCTGTTAGTTCATATTATTGCTCAATTAACGTAGATTATTGCTTATATTGTCCGGAGTATTGTCTTTTAAGCCATTGATTACATAGTACACCAAATTTTGATTTTTGTTTCGACTCACTTGTCCAATTAAAACAAATTTTTAATGAATATCTTTTAATTAGTTCAATTATTATTATTTATTATACATTTTCTTTTTTGTACAGACGGTTAATAGTTGTAAGCATATATTAGCTACTTACATAAATTATTATCTGTATATTCATACGTCATACCTCTTAGTGAGTTAAATGTAAATAAATTTAAAAAATAATAATAAACAACAAAATAACAAAAATCATTTTAAGATCATATTTTCGTATATAAATTGTTATTTTACGTCAGAATATCCAATTTTGTAAAATGTTATTGAAAATAGTTGTTACTTTACACGAAACTTTTTTAACCCCCCTCCTCCCTCCAAAAAAAATGTCTACGTACCTGGACTTATAATAACTTGATTGGTTAGAAATAATTTGTAAGCGTCAACGAAATTCTCACACGAGAGTACAATAGAATATTTTAATAAAGGTTCCTAATTTTTAGGTTATGTTAATTGTTACGAATCTATTTTATATATTGTATGCATATCTTTAATCTAACCTATTGTAAGGAACCTAACAATAGTAACTACTAACTACTATTTATTCACCCAGACTATGTTTATAACATGTATGGTTTAAAAATGTGTAGCACCTATATAAACTAATAAACACTTAAATAAGGTCTAAATGTATGCATAATATAGCTGTAATTAGCGAACAATAAGAGTAGCTTTTTAGTTGTAGTACTTATACAGGTACCTAGCCAATTTCAAGTCTATAATATTAATGTCATAAATCGCTCATATACCTCATCGAAAAACTAGCCCACTTAAGTGCAAAATATATGTTTAGTATGTCCACTTTTAAAGCTTCAAATAGGTATATTATTAATTTAATCTTTCAACTTTCAACTATTATATGTTAAATGTAAGTGAATGATGCTATATATTAGATATGTGTAGATCCTACACAGTAGGTATTTTATAATTAATATAGTTTTATGATATTAAAATATACTTAACAAGGAAAAAACATGTACGTATGTATAGGGCGTATTATAGCCATATGGTAAATTACTAAATTATAGCAATAAACATATATATATATATTATATACAGAGTGATTTGTTAAGCACTTTCACTCCTATTATTTCTCTTTTATAATGAATTAATTCAAATTCTGACTTAGAATTTTGAAATAGAGGTAATCAGAGACCATTTATTCAAGTATTTGTATTTTTTGTATTGTACCTATACTTAAAGAGTGGTTAGTAGTAAAACAAGGTTCTGTTATTCAAATGAAAACCTCCCCATTTTACAGTAAATTATTTAATGGATAATTTTTTTTAAAATTTGTATGTACCTAATTCAAAATTCGTACGAGTAGTTTCTCAATTATTATAATGTTTATACTAAAAATAATAGCCCTTAAAAGAAGTTTTACAAAAATATAAAGCACGAGTAGCCGTAGTATTCTATTTATTATACTTGATCATTTTACAAAAAAATCATGTTGACACATATTAATCACTAACATTTTCAAATCACAATAGCCCCGTGTCATCATATCTTCCAAACCCAATACTTGGACCTTAGTAGTTAGTACATAACTACACAAGTTGAATAAATAAAAAAACTTATACACCGGATGTATAAGAATATACAATAAATTGTTTTTTTAAAAACAAGATTAAGTGTCACATTATATAGATGGTATCTTAAAAAGGCACAGTTTAAACACATAAAATATGTTGTATAATATGAAACTATAAGGAAATTTAAAATATCAATGCATATTTAAATTATATTATACTAATTATTACCTATACAGTTTAAATTTAAAGTTATTATTTTTTTTAATCGTACATTTTATTATATAACAGTCTATTTTTACATCAGCTAAAAATCTTTTTCGTAATTCAGTTATTTCGATTCTGAGCGGAGCAATGTATGTATTGATTTTACAATGATGTGTGTGTATGTATGTGTGTTTATTTTTTAAATTAGTAATTTTCTACTTTGACATATTTTATAGAAAGAAATTTAATCTTATTGGTACTTTGGGGAGTCAAAAATAAAAAATTCCCAATAGTTTTAAAAACAGTATCTGAGATTTTTATGCAAAACTGGTTTTCAAAAAAATCGATTTTATTTTTTGGTGAACACTAAAATGTTACCATAGATACATGACATTTTCACCGAATGTTTATATTAGAATTTTCTATACTCAAATTTTCAAAATATTATGACTATTATTATTATTTTCAAAATTGTTATCGATAGTTGTTCGCTTTTTCAAAAAACTTGAAAATTTTACACAATGTTCCTCATAAGTTGTTATTACAGTGGAACGTACTTGTTTTCCTTGTTACAATATATAAGTACGTCAGTACCAATTATAATATGAATATATGATATTCATATGTAATTAATATAATATAGCTGACTGAATATATTATGGGAATAGAAATTGTATTTATTTTATATATATAGCCTTTTTTACTTTCATCGTCATTTAAAAATAATATTGGAGTATTCGTAATTATGTATAAATATCAAAAAAATATTTATTTCCCTTGTGAAAAATCTTAGGGTATTAAATAACCAAATATATTGTTCAATGTTAGATCGGTATGCTGCTATTCTCTGTAAATAAATTTTCAATTCGTGTATTATTAATTTTCCAATCACTAGCTATGATTTTTTTAAGTTTAGACAGTTCAGTAAACACTACAAAAAAATTATGATTTATTAATGGTATATGGTAATTATGCTAATAAAATCATGTTTTAAACTTAATTGGTAAATAATAACATTATTATTTAGGTACTGAGTTTGAAAATATGATTTGAATTCTTTGTAGAGACGTCATTCAACCACGATTATTAAGTTCTTTGTAATAAAATCGTGTATTCCTATTTTTTAAGCGATGGTTCAACAAACAATGTTCAACAATGTCGATCAATTATTGTTAACGATAAAGACGATATTTCTGATAATAATAACTTGTTTTTTATTAAGTTTAGTGACAGTCAAAATTATACTAAAAATAAATATTTTCTCATATTTAATTATTGATAAAAAAAAATTCAATTATACATAAACTAGTTGGTGCAATAATTATATTCGAAACTTAATGAAGCTGAAGACAAAAAACAACTTTATTTATAAATCTATAAAGTTCCCAAAATCGGAAATCCCTTTGCTCTTTTATATAATAGAACACGTAATGACCAACGTTTCCAAAATTTGACTCCAACAATAAAACAGCTGAAATTCCATACTATAAATTAATTATAATTCCAATTTCTTAAGTTATAATTTTTTAATGTTATTTATGAGTTCACTTTGTTTGTTTAGATATAAGAATTATATTACGCAGTATAGACAATTTTCCTTAAAAGTAATTACCTATACTTATTATCATTCTGTTTTTTCACCCTTTTTCCACCATAACTACATTTGGATAGCAAAAGAACACTTTTCAAAAATCCAGTCTGTTTCTATACGCACTATTTTATCTGTATGGTAATAGTTTGGATTTGATTATATAAAGTCAGGTGCCAACTTAATTAATTCAGTACCGGTAGGAGAGTTTTCATGTTGTAGGGGTTAAGATGAGAATTTCAAAATGTGGAGTTGCAATATTTTACAAAATATTGGCACTGTATATGGTTTATTGATGTATTTTTCGTGATACGGGATAAAAATAATAATGTACGTCGTACACTCGTACATTCTATAGAATAATATTATGTAGGTAAAATTATTCTCAATCTCAATTAATTATATTAATTATCTCTTATCTGTTTCAATGCTTAAACTCAATTTAAAATATTCATTCATTTATCCCCCTATCACCTTATAGCCTTTCGCGTAACATAGTTTGAGAACTGCTGTTAATTGTTATACAGTATAACTTATGCGGCGATTTTAATGACCTGTAAACTCTCCCGAGTCACCTCTATTAGGTTTACTACATCTGACAGTCGGCGGATACATGCTAACTCTTTCGGGTCTAGTTAAGTAATATCTGAAGAGACATGTGAACTCTTCCGAGTTTGTAATAACTTCGTTCATACATAATAATTAAATGTTAATAATAATATAAAC